TTCCTTTATTAAAATAGCCAACAGGAACAAATTCTATTCTGACATGTTTCGCACTAGACACAGTGGGGTTGATTTACTAAAACTGGAGAGTGCAAAATCTGGTGCAGCTGTGCATGGTAGCCAATCAGCTTCTAACTTCAGCTTGTTCAGTGAAGCTTTGACAATAAAACCTGGAAGCTGATTGGTTTCTGTGCACAGCTGCACCAGATTTTTGCACTCTCCAATTTTAGTAAATGAACCCCCATAGCTTTCTTAGAGACGTAAAGGAGAGTTCAATACTGGTGCTAATATAGATCTGTGAAGTCACTGTTTTATTCTGTGTTGAACCTTAATGAAGGGGGAGTGGTGTTGCCCCCAAAATGTATTGGCTGTTTTTATATAACTCTTTATCAACAATTACTGTAAAATGATCTTGGACTCTTTTATCTGATTTTTGTCTGGCATGCCTTTATGTTTTTCTGTGGTTTGACCAAGTCTTGTTTCCACATTGTTACACTCCTGCCCCTGATTCTCTCTGGCCTCCATCTACCATGTACCCTTGTTCCAATCCTCTCTTTCTCTTTTCAGAAAAGCAAGCTAATATTGTGACCCCTTTTCGGGACCTTTGGTCAGGTGTCTCTTCTTTCATTGTTTGTTTGTGGGTCTTGTAGTTTGTCTGTCATCTTTGAAGATCTCTTGGCTCTAACCCTTTGCTCAGAGCTGTCTCAGATTCTGACCTGCCCTTTAAGCTCTGGGTCACACCAGTGCAGCTTTGAAGTCGTGCTACTTTGGCACGATTGAAAGCCGCAGATCAGTGTGATTTGCACCTCCAATTTCATTAGGACTTAATTTAACAGAAGTCTATGCAAGTTGCAGTGAAATCGGAAAAACGTAGTGCAGGAATCTTTTTCAAAGTCACTGTGACATGAGTCGTGGCAATCTGAACGGTTCCATTGCCGGCAATGGGGTGCAAGTTGGAACTGTCAAATCGCACGACAAATCGCACTGGTGTGAACCAGGGCTAAAAGTCATAACTTTAGCTTAGTGTATCTTCTGACTGTTTTGACTGCAGTGTTATAATAAATACGACTTCTGGTCATACATTTTTTATCATATTTTTTCACTTTTAATTGCCAAAGTTTTGTGATCAGTTTACTGGAAGCAGACATGCTTTGTTTTCTCAAAAATAACTAAAAAGGGAAATCATGTCTGTATACATTTTTATACTTTATTTTGCTGAGAAATCATTTTGAAAAACACCTCCTGGCACTTCTGGCAGTGGCCATCTTGAGTAGGGGCAGATGATTCATGTAGCAGTTACTTCCTGGAATCCATCTGTCCTTAGCTAAGGCATTGACTGAGCTGAGAACCCTCCCCTCCTGAAGACTGCTGGGATGTGTGACATAATTTTCCCAGTAGTTGAAACCAGGAAGTAAATGAAGGAATGAAAAAAAAAAGTTTAAACAAGCAAATATTATATACGTTCCTATCTATTTACTAATAAGGATTACAAATAGTCTCTTTGTTTGAGAGAGTGACGTTCCACTTTTAAAAGACCTAGTGCTTAAATAATTAGATCTTGCAATATTGCATATTTAACAAGGGGTCAGTAATTAGAAAACCTTTGTAAAACATTTGTAAAAAAGCATAAAAAAGACATAGAAAAGGCAAAGGGGGAAAGAAGTGTATATGGGCAACACAGCCTGTAGAGAATCTGAAAAACATGACATTTATATATTAGCAACCTATTGCTTTTTGTGTGAGCCACCACTAGAGGCTAAGAAAGGAAAAAAAAATATATTTTACCGAATGACTGTATAGGAAGTCAGCTGTGTGTCTGCAAATAGTGTTAGAAAATGATGTAGTTTGTCCTAAGGTGCAAAGGATCATAAAAGAGTGCTAATGACACAGACCCAGAAACTATTATTACTGAATTTGATTAAGTCGTGTTCTTTTATTTGCCTGGAGTTCAGCTTTTAACTTTCAACCTGAAATAAAAAAAAATTAAGATTTTCTGTTTTATAGAGAACATTTAGAAATGCTAATTGTACTTAAGCTGTACCCAGACAAACTGTACTTTTTTTTCTGAAAAAATAGAAGTGTACTTTTTGATCCTGGACAAGCATGTGCCTTGTGTATCTGCTGTGTATCTGTAATGCATGTAAGGGGTTTATATTGGACACATAGACTCACTGGCCACTTTAGTAGGTACACCTATTCAATTGCTAATCAGCCAATCACATGGCAGCACCTCAGTGAATGTAGGCATGTAGACGTGGTGAAGACGACTTGCTGAAGTTCAAAACGAGAATCAGAATGGAGAAGAAATGGGAATTTAAGTGACTTTGAATGTGTCATGGTTGTTGGTTCCAGATGGGCAGGTCTGAGTATTTAAAAAACTGCTGATCTACTGGGATTTTCACGCACAACCATCTCTAGGGTTTCCAGAGAATGGTCCAAAAAAGAGAAAATATCCAGTGAGTGGCATTTGTATGGACGAAAATTCCTTGTTGATGTCAGAGGTCAGAGGAGAATGGGCAGACTGGTTCGAGATGATAGAAAGGCAACAGTAACTCATGTCAATATGGAACAAAATCTCAGAGGAATGTTTCCAACACTTTTTTGAATCTATTCCATGAAGAATTAAAACAGTTCTAAAGGTAGAAGAGGGTCCAACCAGGGGCAGACTGACCATTTGGAAACTCGGGCACTGCCCGAGGGCCAGGGGTCAGTAGGGGGCCCTATGAGATGCCCCTGGTACCTTTTTCATAGGCTTTTTTGAGTTTTGGCAAGGTCACAGGGGCCCCATGATCCCCTATTGCCCGGAGGCCCCATGAGTTGTCAGTCCACCCCTGGGTCCAACTCAGTACTATCAAGGTGTACCTAATAAAGTGGCCGGGGAGTGTAGAGAACAGCTAAGACTGTTTAGTTTATATAAGGAACTGTTACCTCTGACTGCTAGTCTCACAAGATTTAAAGTGATATTTGGTGATATCACTTCAGTACTGCTCACTGTTCTCCCTTCTGGAATGAAAGATGAACCTGAGTATCTACATACCTTATTAAATCTGTGGATCTTGTCTTTCTGAACCTTTCTTGCTATGGCTTGATTATTATTCCATCAGGGGGAATTTCTGATATGAAAAATCAAACCCTGCCTGCCTCTAACAAGATGGCTGCCTCTACACAGAGAAACAGTGTAGAACAAGGAATTGTAAGTAAGAAAAAGAATAACTGCAGGAGGCCGACAGGCAATAATGATGGCTTCTACTTGACTTTTTGGAACAGTTTCCATAGTTCACATTACCTTTAACTTCAAATAGAAAAATATATTAAGCATGTTAACCACCTGGCAAACATAATGGACTGAAACCTTGCTTTTTGCAATTAAAGCTGAGCTCCAAGATACATAAAAAATGATTTCTAAGTGCCATCATATATGGCCATTATCAGGATTACAAACATTTAGTAAAATTGCCCCTTTAGTATGAATCTACCTTAGAACAATTGGTAACATCCTCACTTCCTGTGAAAAGGCATCTCCGGCCAGGAACTCCTTGGAGGTATCATGGCGGCAGATGTATCACAACCTTTCTCCATGCAGTACCAGTGTTTGAAGCTACAATTACTATCATGCTATGGAAATTATGTAGTGAATGTATGGAAATCAGGGGATGAGCATGTTCCCATATAAAAATTTTCAATCTGTTAGGACTGTCAATCAAACAACACAGTAACAGTGGGCAGTTCAGACATATTCATGTCCTTGCTCAATGAACAGAGAAATACAGCAGGGAAGTTACTAAAACAGTGGCTCGGGGGATAGTAAGCACAGCAGCCACCAGTCTTATGAAGCAAGAGTTAAAGGAAGGGAGATCCAACACAACAAACACTTTACTCCTGCGCTAGGAAAGGACTCAGTAGACCCAATAGGAATGTTCTGGAATTTTCTGGAATATGCACTGCTTGCTGCCCTCAACAGACCGGGGTGGTCCGAATACACTGGATACAAATGGAGAAACAGAAAAAGGGCGCACCGACCTAGTGCATTATCATTTAAAATAATTTATTAAAGAAACAATAATAGGTATCATACTCACAATGGACATAATAACACAGGCATGTCAAACTGAACAAGATGTATGATCCAAACAACATCTGAGTCCATACGATGGAACCCTGGATGACCAACTGGCTAACGTGTTTCGAAGACACAACCTCTTCCTCAGAGCCAAGAGCTGGCTCTGAGGAAGAGGTTGTGTCCTCGAAACGCGTTAGAAAGTTGGGCGCGATCAAGGTTTGATCTCAGTCAGAGCCTAGATTAGTGTTTGGGCCAATGGTCAGGGTCAAAGGTAAGGATTTTTTTTTTGTTTTAAATAGTGTCAGTTTAAGTGTAAGTGTTTTAGGTAGGACAAAAAAAAAAAAAAAAAAAAATGCGCACTATTGTTTCTAGGCTGTACTCTGGGTACAAACAACAAATAACATGCACATATTTGGTATCGCTGTGATAGTCAGGAGTTCGAAAAATTTATTTTGGGTTGTTCTTTGGTGGTAGGTTATGGCAGTGACAAAAAACACACAGCTAAATTTGAAAAAAAAAAAATATTTTTTTTTACTATTTTGTACCAGTTTTCCTTTATATATAAAAAAAAATAAAAAATCTGGAGATATCCATTACCATATACCACCAAATGAAGCACTGCGCTTTGTGAATGGTATGGTGTCTTCTGGGACACATGACAGGTCCCAGAAGACGCCGGACCAATCACAAAGCGCAGTGCTTCTTGCGCATGTGCACTGGGCGCCCGGCTATCAGCCGGGTGCCGACACTAAAGGGAGGATAACTTTCGCGGAAGTGGGAGTGGTTACCTGTCAAATTCAGGTACCCGGTCCCCCTCCCTCCCCAAAGGTCAGCAGTCTCTTAGTCATCCCCTGTACTGTCTGCAGTCTCTTAGTCATCCCCTGTACTGTCTGCAGTCTCTTAGTCATCCCCTGTACTGTCTGCAGTCTCTTAGTCATCCCCTGTACTGTGTCTGCAGTCTCTGGTCATCTCCTGTACTGTGTCCGCAGTCTCTGGTAATCTCCTGTACTATGTCTGCAATCTCTGGTCATCTCCTGTACTATGTCTGCAGTCTCTGGTCATCTGTACTATGTCCGCAGTCTCTGGTTATTCCCTGTACTGTCAGCAGTCTCTAGTCATCTGTACTATGTCCACAGTCTCTGGTCATCTCCTGTACAGTTTGCAGTCTCTAGTCATCTCCTGTACTGTCTGCAGTCTCTGGTCATCCCCTGCACTGTCCGCAGTCTCTGGTCATTTCCTGCACCATGTCCACTGTCTCTGGTCATCCCCTGCACTGTCCGCAGTCTCTTGGTCATCTCCTGTACTGTCTGCAGTCTCTTGGTCATCCCCTGTACTGTGTCCGCAGTCTCTGGTCATCTCCTGTACTATGTCTGCAGTCTCTGCTCATCTCCTGTAGTATGTCTGCAGTCTCTGGTCATCTCCTGTACTATGTCTGCAGTCTCTGGTCATCTCCTGTACTATGTCTGCAATCCCTGGTCATCTCCTGTACTATGTCTGCAGTCTATTGGTTCACAATATTTTTTTTCTTGTTTTCCGCCTCTAAAATCTAGGTGCGTCTTATGGTCAGGTTCGTCTTATGGAGCAAAAAAATACGGTATATGGTTTTACTAACACATGTTCGGTTGTAAAACTTTACTTAGGAATTAGGATTTGTTTTACCCTTAGTTGTGAAGGGATTAAGGAAACAGAATTCGGATATATACAATGGCCTTTAATAGGAAGCAGTCTTTGTTCAGAAATACTTTGCATGTGTAAGTTTTCATTAGCCTATTTAGAATAAATGCAGAATGTGCTTAACTTCAAGCATTATAGAAATATTCAGCATTTTTTGTTTTTCTTACAGTAAACATAAATAATATACAGTATATATAAATATCTATACAATTATATTACACAGAAAATACTTTCATAGCCAATACTACTTGCAAATGAACATGGAGATTTTAACAATGGGTTTTGCACAAAGAGAGTGCACATCAATATTGTATCACAGTGTGTGCTCATTTGCATATCATTAGCTGGAATGCTGGCTGTGAGCAGATAGATCAATTTATTACACATGACAGTAAACTGATATAAACTATCCTACCTACTTACATGAGTAAATGCATTTGAGAATTTTTATTTTTCATGCAATTAAAAATCAGGACGATATGTGAAATAGTTCCTTTATGGTCATTCAAACAATGGAATTATAGTTTACTGTACTAAAAAGTAAATTTAAAAAAGCAGTAATATCGCAATGGTTGCTACCACATGCTAAGAAGAGTTAAAGGCTAAGAGGACAGAGAAACAAAAGTTAAAACTGAACTCTGGGCAAATAGCTAAATATGTATGATTTAATGGTTTTACCTGCCAAAGGATTTGGATAACTGTCTATTCTGTCCTGAGATTTACACAGCCCTGCCATACAAGACAACCTTTTCTGTCAGGGCTAGAGACCTATTTTTTTTCTTCTTGTAGTTAAAGTGACCCTATCGGGGGTTAACAAATAAACAATGAGAAACCTGTGTAGAAAGCAGCATTATACTTATCTGTCCAGCGACTGGTTTGCAGAAGCTTCATTTTGTATCAGAGCTCCTAGCACTGATTCTATTCGACTCCATTGGCTAAAGGAATAGTATGTCCCATAGCTGGCTTCTCTGGTTCCTGCTGCTGACACTGAGTCACTGCAGGACACAGTAGTGATATAGGGGTCGATGGGATTAACCACAGTGGTCAATGGGATTGGGTACTGCTGTTGTAATAGGATCAGGTACTGCCATTGTTATTTATTTTAAACCCATGACAGAGTCACTTTAGAGTGAAAAATTAAAATGGAATAATCTGTCTCTTTGAATCTTTAAACTGTGTCTTTGTCATATAATTATGATTTTTCTTGAAACCATTATCTAAATCCTGATTGATCCTGCCAGTTCTCTTCTTTTTGGTTGTAAACTCACCTCACTAAGCATAAAGGCAGAGCCATGCTAGCATGGTCAGTTTGTCTGCCTTGTGTTCCTGATCAGAGCTGCAGGAATACTGTGCAAACACACGGCATGCCTATATCTTCAATGGTCGCTTTGGAGACACGCCCCCAACCATCCCTCGTCTCTTGATTGACAGCAGCTTCAATGCATCTCACTGTCACGTATGCCCACCAGCACTCCTTGATGTGCTGAGGAAGGCAAAGCAATCACGTGACCTGTATCAAAGAGATTTCAAAATGGTACCGATATGGAAGAAAAATATATTTGAAATATATTTTAAAAATATTCTTCCCAAATATATTGACATATATTTGAAATGCCACAATTTTGGCCATATTCAATATATTTCAAATATATATTTCAATAAATATAGATAGATAGATAGATAAATAGATAGATAGACAGATAGATACATTCTTCAGATTTTTTTTAACATAAAAAAGTCATTTTAACATATATTTTTACATATATTTGTATATGCATTCCAAAACTGTAGATTTTGTAATAAAAATGCATTTCAACATGCAGTGTATATATATATACAGTTGCAAAGAAAAAGTATGTGAACCCCTTGGGATTATGTGGAGTTTTGCATGAATTGGGCATAAAATGTGCTCTGAACGTCATCTAAATCACAACAATAGAAGAACACAGTCTGCTGAACGTAATACTACACAAACATTAGATGTTGCCATGGTTTAATTGCACATAACATGTAAACATTCACAGTGCAGGGAGGAAAAAGTATGTGAGGCCCTAGCGTAATGACTTCTCCCAGAGCTAATTGGAGCCAGGAGTGAGCCAACCTTGACTCCAATCATTGTGATGATATTGGATGTGTTGCTGATAGCTGTCCTGCCCTAAAAAAAACACACACCTGTTTTGGGTTTACTGGTTTCAAGAAGCACTGTCTGATGTGAACCATGCCTCGCAGAAAAGAGCTCTCGGAAGACCTACGATCAAGAATGGTTGACTTGCATGAAGCTGGAAAGGGTTACAAAAGTATCTCCAAAAGCCTTGATGTTCATGTGTCCACAGTAAGACAGACTGTCTACAAATGGAGAAAGTTTAGCACTGTTGCTACTCTCCCTAGGCGTGGTCATCCTGTAAAAATGACTGCAAGAGCACAGCGCAGAATGCTGCATGAGGTAAAGAAGAATCCCAGAGTGTCAGCTAAAGACCTACAGAAATCTCTGGCATATGCTAACATTTTTGTTGACACATCTACAATAAGGAAAACATTAAACAAGAATGGAGTACATGGGAGGACACCACGGAGGAAGCCATTGCTGTCCAAAAAGAATATTGCAGCACGTTTGAAGTTTGCAAAAGAGCACCTGGATGTTCCACAGCACTACTGGCAAAATATACTGTGGACAGATGAAACCAAGATTGGGTTGTTTGGGAAGAACACACAACACTATGTGTGGAGAAAAAAAAGGCACAGCACACCAACATCAAAACCTCATCCCCACTGTGAAACATGGCGGAGGGAGCATCATGGTTTAGGGCTGCTTTGCTGCCTCAGGGCCTGGACGGATTGTTGTCATTGATGGGAAAATAAATTCCAGAGTTTATCAAGACATTTTGCAGGAAAACGTACGACCATCTGTCCGCCAACTGAAGCTCCACAGAGGATGGGTGATGCAACAGGACAATGACCCAAAGTATACAAGTAATTCAACAAAACAATGGCTGCAACAGCACAGAATACGCCTTTTGGAGTGGCCCAGTCAGAGTCCTGATCTCAACCCAATTGAAATGCTGTGGCATGACCTTAAGAGAGCGATTCACACCAGACATCCCAAGAATATTGCTACACTGAAACAGTTTTGTGAAGAGGAGTAGTCCAAAATTACTCCAGATCGTTGTGCAGGTCTGATCTGCAACTACAGGAAACGTTTGGTTGAGGTTATTGCTGCCAAAGGAGGGTCAACCAGTTATTAAGTCCAAAGGTTCACATACTTTTTCCTCCCTGCGCTGTAAATGTTTACATGTTATGTGCAATTAAACCATGGCAACATCTAATGTTTGTGTAGTATTATGTTCAGCAGACTGTGTTCTTCTATTGTTGTGACTTAGATGACGGTCAGAGCACATTTTATGCCCAATTCATGCAAAACTCCATGTAATCCCAAGGGGTTCACATACTTTTTCTTGCAACTGTATATATATATACTGCATGTTGAAATGCATTTTTATTACAAAATATATGAAAAATAGAAAAATATTTTAAAAAATATATTTCAAATATACCGTATGTCTATATGTAAAAGAAAATCTGAAGAATATATTTAAAAAATATATATTTTTAAAAATATTTTTCATATATTTTGTAATATATAAAAAAGGTTTTCAACATGCAAATATATATATATATATATATATATATATATATATATATATTTATATATATATTTATTTATTGAAATATATATTTGAAATATCTTGAATATGGCCAAAATTGTGGCATTTCAAATATATGTCAATATATTTGGGAAGAATATTTGTAAAATATATTTCAAATATATTTTTCTTCCATGTGGGTATCTAAGCACTGTTTTTTAATTTTATAACTATGGATTATAGGAATATATATTATGAAAGATAGGAATATATATTTGTTTACATTGACTCAACTACTTTAACCACTTGAGCTCTGGAAGAATTTATCCCCTTCATGACCAGGTAATTTATTGCTATACTGCACTGCGCTACTTTAACTGTTAATTGTGTGGACATGCAACCCTGTACCCTAACTAAATTTATATACTTTTTTCAGACAAATAGAGCTTTCTTTTGGTGATATTTGAGCACCACTGGGTTTTTCATTTTTTGCGATATAAACGAAAAAAGACCAATTTTGTCCAAAATGTATTCCACTACATTTCATTGTTAAAAAAAATCCCAATAAGCGTATATTGAATGGTTTGTGTGAAAGTTATAGCGTCTACAAACTATGGTATATATATACTGGAATTGTTTTTATACTGCTAATAGGGTTGATCAGCCACCTATAACAAGACTGTGATAGTGCAATTGGCAACCTGACACTAATTGATCCTGGAGGGAACGCCTCGTTCACATCATACATGCAGAACAACTGATGGAAACTGATGCGCAGATTTCACTTGCAGAGACATCAGTTTATACCAGTTTTCATGCCTTCTCCATTGAGTTTTATACACGTTGCAAATTCCTGTGAAGAATAAATCTGCACATGATACTAGTGTTGTGGTGTGAACAGAGCACATAGAGAAAATTAGATTTCTCTGTCCCCTTGCAGAACATGTGCAGAAAAACTGAATTCTCTCCACCATGGTGTGAACAAGCCCTAACAGTCACTGACATCACCAGTGACATTAATACGTTGATCAGTGATAACACTATACACTGTCACTGTACTAATGACACTGGCTGGGAAGGG